AACTGCTTATGAAGAATGGTAAATTCTGAGATAAAATGCAAAATGTCGCCACTTCCTGCCACACCCCGTGGCATACATTCACTTCCTGTTAAACAAGAACATATACACCAGTTTGCTTTAATGTCTCTATATATTAAATAGATTCTTATTTTTTCCATAGCAATTACAAAGCAAGTTGTATTTTGTCTTCTATTACTAATTTCTCGGGACTAAAAAACTGGAACAGAGAGGACATATTTAAAAAAAAAAATAGATTTCACGCACGACTGTACTCTAAGCTCATTCACATCAGCAGGATCCGTCTTCCCACTTAAAGAAGAAAAAGTTAATTAAAAATCTCCCACAGTCTTTAAAAAGCCTGATCTTTTTATGAAAAGGAAAAGAAAAAAAATGATCGCAAGACATTAGGGATGGAAAGAAAAAGAGTAATCGAAATATTGTTTCTGAAACATCCACCTACAGGATCAGCCATGCGTGAAACAGGAGTGACTTCTACCAGCTGGAAAAGGCTCACTAATCCTGTGTAATTGCTTCATTAAATTGCTTCAATATTTTCACACCTTCAATTATTGGCAACCAGTCCAGCTTCTGTTTATAAACATTTTAATCAATTTTACCTCTTCTTTATCTCTCTTGCTTTCCTTCTTTCAGACATAGAAGGTGATCTTAGATAACAGCCACTTGGATTGCCTAGTAATGTCTGTTATAAAACCTCAAAAGCACTTTAACCCTTCATTGCCAAGTACTTGTTTAAAAACATATTGTCTATCTATCTATCTATCTACCTACCTACCTACCTATCTACCTACCTATCTAAACACTAACTTGTTGCTTTAGTGGTCACAATATTTTTTTTATTTGTGTAAAATACGACTTGAAATATAATTGATAAGGACATCACTTTATCTCTCCTATGGAATAGCTTGCCTACTGCCATCAGACTCTCCCCTTGTCTTCAATCATTTAAGAAGGGCCTTAAAACCCATCTCTTCAGGAAAACTTATGGCCTCCCAGAGTACAGGGAGTGCAGAATTATTAGGCAAATGAGTATTTTGACCACATCATCCTCTTTATGCATGTTGTCTTACTCCAAGTTGTATAGGTTCGAAAGCCTACTACCAATTAAGCATATTAGGTGATGTGCATCTCTGTAATGAGAAGGGGTGTGGTCTAATGACATCAAAACCCTATATCAGGTGTGCATAATTATTAGGCAACTTCCTTTCCTTTGGCAAAATGGGTCAAAAGAAGGACTTGACAGGCTCAGAAAAGTCAAAAATAGTGAGATATCTTGCAGAGGGATGCAGCACTCTTAAAATTGCAAAGCTTCTGAAGCGTGATCATCGAACAATCAAGCGTTTCATTCAAAATAGTCAACAGGGTCGCAAGAAGCGTGTGGAAAAACCAAGGCGCAAAATAACTGCCCATGAACTGAGAAAAGTCAAGCGTGCAGCTGCCACGATGCCACTTGCCACCAGTTTGGCCATATTTCAGAGCTGCAACATCACTGGAGTGCCCAAAAGCACAAGGTGTGCAATACTCAGAGACATGGCCAAGGTAAGAAAGGCTGAAAGACGACCACCACTGAACAAGACACACAAGCTGAAACGTCAAGACTGGGCCAAGAAATATCTCAAGACTGATTTTTCTAAGGTTTTATGGACTGATGAAATGAGAGTGAGTCTTGATGGGCCAGATGGATGGGCCCGTGGCTGGATTGGTAAAGGGCAGAGAGCTCCAGTCCGACTCAGACGCCAGCAAGGTGGAGGTGGAGTACTGGTTTGGGCTGGTATCATCAAAGATGAGCTTGTGGGGCCTTTTCGGGTTGAGGATGGAGTCAAGCTCAACTCCCAGTCCTACTGCCAGTTCCTGGAAGACACCTTCTTCAAGCAGTGGTACAGGAAGAAGTCTGCATCCTTCAAGAAAAACATGATTTTCATGCAGGACAATGCTCCATCACACGCGTCCAAGTACTCCACAGCGTGGCTGGCAAGAAAGGGTATAAAAGAAGAAAATCTAATGACATGGCCTCCTTGTTCACCTGATCTGAACCCCATTGAGAACCTGTGGTCCATCATCAAATGTGAGATTTACAAGGAGGGAAAACAGTACACCTCTCTGAACAGTGTCTGGGAGGCTGTGGTTGCTGCTGCACGCAATGTTGATGGTGAACAGATCAAAACACTGACAGAATCCATGGATGGCAGGCTTTTGAGTGTCCTTGCAAAGAAAGGTGGCTATATTGGTCACTGATTTGTTTTTGTTTTGTTTTTGAATGTCAGAAATGTATATTTGTGAATGTTGAGATGTTATATTGGTTTCACTGGTAATAATAAATAATTGAAATGGGTATATATTTGTTTTTTGTTAAGTTGCCTAATAATTATGCACAGTAATAGTCACCTTCACACACAGATATCCCCCTAACATAGCTAAAACTAAAAACTACTTCCAAAAAAATTCAGCTTTGATATTAATGAGTTTTTTGGGTTCATTGAGAACATGGTTGTTCAATAATAAAATTAATCCTCAAAAATACAACTTGCCTAAATTCTGCACTCCCTGTAATCTCTACCTTACATACCTGTCTCCTGCTCTCTCCTATGGGACAGTGCTTTGCTCTCTCCTCCAGCTCTGCCTCACTCCTACTTGATATTTCTTGTCCTAATGTTTCTAATACCCCACCTCCTATAGTCTATAAGCTCATTTGAGCAGGGTCCTCTTCAACCTATTGTTCCTGTAAGTTTTCTTGTAATTGTCCTATTTATTGTTACATCCCCCCTCTCAAAATATTGTAAAGCGCTACGGAATCTGTTGGCGCTATATAAATGGCAATAATAATAATCTATAGAAATCAGAATGCACTCTGACGTTCAGGAGACCCTTAGATTGCTATAAGTGATATTAGGGCTATAATTTGCTCACGGATAAAAGCGCCAAAATATCATGTACTGTTCTGTTTTACTGATGATTCTTTCAGGATGTACTGAAACTAGAAAGCTTTTTGAGTTTAAATTTGGAAAGTGTCTTGACCAGCAGAAGAATGATGGGATTTGCATCAAAGTTCTCAGCAATAATCTAGTTAATATTGTGTAAAATATTCATGAGCACTGCAAGAGGCTACGAGTAATGTGTGGGCATCAAAACCTACCAACGACTTTCAGTTCTAAGGCTCTGTGTTAATTCAAACTGAGACACTGCACTCTATAAAGAAAGCCGGTGATGTTGTCTGGCCTCGCTCACTCAGCATCCATTATGTGCATTTCAATCCACGTTCTTTATGTCTAGTCCCAAGTGTATCTTCATTTGTATGCGGTTGTGGTTTGGATAGAGGGCATGGGCAGGGTTTGCTGTGAGGAACAGGTGAAGGCAGGAAATATTTCTGCACTGGGTGACAAGGTTTTCCATTAAGTTCAGGGACAGGACCTACAACCATAAAATATAGCTTTTGAGAAAAGAGAACTCTCAGTTTATTTATATTTTCAAATCATATGTTATTTTGTCTCTGTCATGTGTGTTATCAGTATATGCCCAGAAAACACAATTCTGCCAAATTCTTCAAATGTGAATAGTCGGATTTAACAAGAATTCAAAGTGAATTTTAAATATCTGGCCAAATAGTTTAAAGAGACACTCCACTGCCCAAATACACACAAAAATATATATAAAAATCACTGTAGATAAAACATGAAATGAAAACATGCATGCATTTTAATATTAACATTTTTTTAAATTGGGATAAATCTAAAAGCAGCTGCAGAAAGCTGAATATATATATTGTCTAAAATCTTTACAAACCATTTGTTTCTAGCCCCGCCCAGATGTTCTGTGGTTGTCCAATCACAGACTTTCTAATGCAGCTCAAAGAAAAGTATTTTCAAAGCAGATGCTCTGAGCAATTAGGGATTATTCTAGCCTCGGTGAGGGAATAATCTAAATTTTATTAAAGACAGGAGGCGAATATTTGCTTTACCTTCTTTACTGAAACCTCCAGCAGCAAAGAAACAGTTAACAGAACTTTTTAAAACAACCAATCAGAACAAAGCAACAGTAGTATAAAACCCCTAAACAGGCTCTTCCACTTCCTCTTTCTTTGATGAGGTCGAGCAGGAGAGCAAGGAGACCAACGAATCCACCTTGTAGCAGACACATCCAGAGAAACAATCGTCAAGCCCAGAGAAAAAACAGATTACACTGCAAGAAAACAGAAAACATTGTGAAAGTAAACTGTCAAGGCAAGATGTCATATCCATACAATATCACTTTCACATCATAATACCTGATGAATAAACAAAGTCTACAGATCTTATGAAGACCTTGTATGTACCTAAGCTAAAAAGGCATTGACTAAACATAATTACAACACAAACATGATGAATAAACGCACACGGACAACCATCACTGAATATTAGAAATAACCTTTATTATGTAAAATTCACAAAACATAACAATATCCCCAATTATTTATAATAAAATAAAACCCAGATCCAGGGAGGGAACGTAAAAAAAAGGGGGGGAAATATTCGCCTCCTGTCTTTAATAAAATTTAGATTATTCCCTTAACGAGGCTAGAATAATCCCTAATTTTATGGCAGGACAGGAGGCTTCATATTTGCAATTTTAACACCCAAATAGTAGAACCAGAAGCAATATGAGATAGAGGACTGAAATAAAGGAGAATGGAAAAACTGATTCCCTAAACCAAGCAGCGGTGTAGAGAAAATGTAGAAGGGACCCAACGGCTTCCAAAATTGTTGAGGTGACAGCACCCCGAACCAAAAGTGTCCCAGAGGAACTCAAGGTCAGTCAATGAGAGGATCCACCAAATCCAACGGGCAAGCGAATATGCAGAAACAGTTCAAAATGGCCTTACGCAGAAATAAACAGCTGTCCATGAGTAGACGGACGAAAAAACCAGATCCTGGATCTACATGGACATGTACATGTACAATCTGTCAACAGAGCTGTGGCCTATCCGGAGAATAGGGGTACGACACAGAGGACGAATAAAAATGAAATGTGTGGAGCAGAAGCCGATGTACTGAACGGCAAGAAGGAAAAAGACACGTCGATACCATGGCGTCAGAACGCGATGAAATACAAGATGTACTGGGGGGAAACCGTAAGCGGAAAAAACTGGTGCACCTTGTCATCAGGTCATTCCTCAATGAAATACAGAACACACGATACCACTAGACTTGAGGAATAGCGAGAGATAGGGCTCCCGTACGGTATACTCCTCTTGGTAGACTGCAGACCAAGAGATCCTTAGCAATGCCAGAATCTTAAGAAAAACGCACGAGTCGTCCACTAGCTGACATAGGACGTGAATGGCCCCATACGATCCTACCCTGAGAGGGCAACTCAGCCAGACAATGGGGACAACCATGATAAGGACCGCCATTGGGACCCAAACACCAGTCGTGGCAGGCTACCCATGTGGATCCCACGTGGAACATTAAGAGACAGGGAGTCGTAGATTGCCTTCCCATGGCAAACTCCAGCAAAAAGGAAAGCACGCAGGACTCCTCCGAAGTGGTTTGGCCAGGCGAAACGACACTTCCAGGAATTCGGTCTGAAGCGAAACCCAAAGTATCCTGTAGGTAAACGGGATGCGTACGCCCCGAAGCAGACCAAGTTTGGAAAACTCGTCCCTCGCCCAGGGTACGGCAGCCAGTTGGAGAACCGCTCCGTATGGCGGTTCGCACCGAATGTAATCATGCCAGTACTCAAGACCCCGGAGGGTGAGGCAACCAATCATTGGGTCTCTCCATGGTCGGGTGAAGCTGTCCGCCACATGAGTGTCTCGTCCGTATACATTCTGTCACAAATGACGAATACTTGTCCAGAAGCTATAGATAGCGATCCTATGTGAGATCCGACTGCAGTCCGTAGTGGGCAACCGGTGAGAAGTCCATGTCGGAAGGTAGCGAGCAATACTGTGAATGTTGAACAAACCTGCAGGTAGTTCCATGCAGTTGGCGTAAAGGAGTCCCTCCTCCGGAGTCATCAATTAAGTTTTAGATGAGCTTCATCCGAAGGTCACATGATTTGGTCATACCAGGCCGAAGACCTGAGAAAGCGCCATGTTGGAGCGGCTGATAGTACCGGATCCAGGAGGTATGGCTTCCATGGCGAATAGGCACCGGTCAATTAACCGGGTTGGGCCCCTAAGTGTAACCCGCGGGTTGCGGAGCATATACCTGGTATTTTCCTTGAAGACGGACATCTTGGTCCTCGGGAGGCGGAGCACCGCCTGGACCGAATATTCCATGAAAGACCGGAAACTGGGTTGACTGGGAGTGAGTCAGATTCAATATGTCCATGTTGATGGCAAAATCCATGCGGGTTTCTCTCATGTGCATTTGAGGGAGAGAACTAATCGTCAACACCGAGCAGCTCTCAGAGTGCCCTCCATCTCAAAATGTGTCAACAGACGACATATGCACTGGGAGCATGTAGCGTGGGGATTGGGCGGGAGTCCACTCCACCGCACCCTTTGCCCAGCAGGGCAACTGCGGAATGAGTCGGAATGGATGCCTCTTTTGGTCATGCGTATCGCTCATGGAACGGTCCAAGGTTCCGCAACCTTAATCTGGAGTCCGGGCACGGTCCGAGAGACCTCTGGGGCACCCTATGAATAGAAACGTGTCAGTTCAAGTTGTACACGAGGGTAACTCGTGAGAGCAGACCCAGCACTTGGATGCTAAATCCATCAGTTTGATGTCCAGCTTGGACAGGGGCCGTTTTGTGGTTCTCAGGGGTAGAAACCAACTAGGCGATACCTATAAGTCATATCGGTCCATTCCCAGTGGGAATTTAGTCTCCTCCGCTTTCCAAGCGGTGACGCACCGTTCGTCCCGAGGAAACATCTGTGTCCGCGTGTCACCGACATCCACTGGTTAGTCCCAGATAGAGTGCAAACCCCGTGTCAGGTGTTTGCGGTGTCCTTTCCGGACTCCGTCATGAAGACTGATCCACTTGATGAATCCATCCGTTAGCCAATGGGTACCAGGGGTGCTTGGTGTAGCGTCTAGGCTAGCCGGTGGAGTGACCCCGTAGGGTACCGATGGTTTCTGGCAGTGAGGCGGCAAGAGGACAGGCCAAGTGACCTTCTGGGTATAGGAGATTTGTCCTTCAGCCGTGATTGCACAACTGCCATAGAGGTAAAACTGTCGGAATGATACCTGGTGTGGCCAGCTGGGGGTCACCCAGCATGCAAGAGGGGGTCACCCAACATGCACAAGCATACCATGCAGTATAGGCCAGCAGGGGAGGGGGTCACCCTCAGTCTGAACATAATCGGACACTGTAGGTACAGTGGTGCGGCCAGCTGGGGGTCACCCAGCGAGCAAGAGGGGGTCACCCAACAAGCACAAGCATACCATGCAGTATAAGCCAGCAGGGCAGTCTGAACATAATCGGACACTGTAGGTACAGTAGTGCCGAAGTGGTTAGCCGTATAATAAAGTAACCAGACATTGCCGGTCCAGCAGTGTAGATGGCAGGAGGGGGTCACCCTCATATAACCAGAACCGGGCATTGCAGATCCAGCAGTGCTGTAGGTAAGAGGGGGTCACCCTCAGTGTGGTATCATAGAGGTCTGTACACCCAGCAGTGTAGTCAGCGAGAGGGGGTCACCCTTATTATGGTTATAACGGGACCTTGTAGGTCCAGCAGAGTAGTCCACAGGAGGGGGTCACCCTCAGTATCTGCGTATTGCAGGGCACTGTAAGAACAGAAGCTCAATCAGTGGGAGGGGTACCCTCTTTTATGGGAATACCGGGACGCTGCAGGTTCAGCAGTGCAGACTGCAGGAGGGGTACCCCCTCGGTATGATAATAGCAGGACATTGCCGGAGCATTAGTATAGGAAGCAGGAGGGGGTCATCCTCAGCATTAATCTTACAGGACGCCGTAGAGCCAGCAGGGTACTCATAGGTAGCCATGTTGCCAGAGGGAGGGGGTCACCCAGCCCACAATGGTGTCACACGTCCATTATTATGGTCCAGTAGCGGGTAGAGCCCCAGAAATATGGATTGGGGGGGGGGTTCACCCCCCAGTAATAACAGGTCTGAATGTGGGGCCAGTAGCCCCCCTGAGGGGTAGGAGGGTCCATATAGCGAGAAGCTGGCTCACAGACCACTCAGGTATTATATTAGGATACACTTTTGAAGTGTATGTGTAGTGGAAAATTTAAGTCCCTTGCAGGAAGGGCAGCAAATCCTAGGCAGGGGAGCTAGGTGCTGAAAAACAGGCCATTTAATTTTATGAGAAAAAGACTGAACCTTAGAGAAAGACTTGATTAGCATATAACATATGTGGCATAGTCCTGTTAAACAAAGATTTTTAATTGAGCAGTAACATGTCCCTTTAAATCTGAGATTCACATGTAATAGTAAAAAAGTGTGACAAGTCTACTGCTAAGATAGAGAACCTAGTTAGACATAGTAAGCTGCAGTTGTGAGTGTGCCTGGGACAGATCCTGCTATCCAGGATCTGTTACATATGCAGCATGTGAGACAGGCACAGTAAGTAGAGGGATAGCTGAAAAACTGGGCTATCTTCCCTGATATAGGGAGAGGGGAGGGTGGCCACATGGCCAGCAGGCCTGTTCACAACGCACAGAGCCCATGTGGCTCTGAAAAATGGCTGCAAAAACAGAGCGCGGCCTACCGCGTGGTGATCGTGCGGCACTGCCACGGTAGAAAAAGCTGCTCAGCAAGCGGCCAGGGGCCGCGGGGAGCAGGTGGGGAATAAGGGAGAAGGGTATGGGCAACAGAGCCCAGCAGGGGAACCCATGGAGGGGAAACAGATTACAGGCAGAGCCAAAAGCATCATAGCAAGGGCACCCATTCCCCATACAGCAGAATGAGAAAACAGAATAAAGTAATACAGCAGCTACATAGCATGAAGTGGTATAGGAAATAACACAGAATAGACTGCCTAGCTAAACCCAGCAATAGACTGCCTAGATAAACACAGTAATAGACTGCCTAGATAAACACAGCAGACAAACTGTTAAAACAAATTCAGCAAGAACCCTGCCTAAATAAATCCAGCAATTAAGCTGCCTAAACAAACCTAACAAATAGACTGATTAAATAGACTGTTTAAATAAACAAGCAGCATGTAGGATAAAACAACAACCAAGAGCAGAGACAACTCTGAGTTGGTGAGTGCTCACCTGGAGGCAGCAGCAAAGAAAGAGGAAGTGGAAGAGCCTGCTTAGGGGTTTTATACTACTGTTGCTTTGTTCTGATTGGTTGTTTTAAAAAGTTCTGTTAACTGTTTCTTTGCTGCTGGAGGTTTCAGTAAAGAAGGTAAAGCAAATATGAAGCCTCCTGTCCTGCCATAAAATTGCCTGGAAGTAACAGAACTGGTTGTCTGAGTGAAAGCCAGGAGGGTGTAACAAGGTAAATTTATAAAACTGCCAATTTCTATTTAAATATGTACTTTAAATAATAAAAAAAAGGGGCCAAACTATTCACCCATAATGCACTTCAGCAAACTAAAGTGCTTTCGGAGTCTAGATTGTCCTTTTAACTGGATAACGTCCCAACGTCAACTGTGTTTTTATTTTGACTATTTTCACTTAAAATTAACAAGTCACATTTTGTTTTGGGCTTTAAATTTGCCTAAAAATTTAAATTCACTTTGAATTGTCACTTTAGTCAATAACTCTGATTTCGTCCAAAATGCAGTTAGCCCATGGACACCTGTTATTTTATTAGGGCTATCTATTTCTATCTATCTCCGTTATGTATATCCTGGAGAAAATAATGTTCACTCTGGTTTTGAGGAGGGACTGGGCAGGGATGTTTGATATTTCTCATTCTAAATGTCTGGTAGGTTTATTTATTTACTCGATTGTAATTCTTACTGTCTGGCAGCTATTCAAACTCTAATAGCCTTCGCTCTCCCTATCATTCCAACAGGTCAGAGCTCGAAGAGAGGGGAGTGGAATTAAAAAGGGGTGGAATGAGCATTTAGAAATGAAATACAGTCTTTGGCAAAGCTTATTTATTCTGCCAGACGGCTTTGTGTTCCATGGCTGATTGAATCAGGCTAATTAAAACATGCAGCATTAAGGTCAATTTACTAAGCAGCGTAAATAGTTGTGCTGCTGCTGCAGCTGAATTGTGTTAGGCTTCCAAGTCAGTTTAGAGATCTGTAAAATGTACTATCATGTGCTGCAGACTGT